GCGCTCCGCGCCCGACGGCGCGGCGGGGCCGGCCGCGCGCGCCCCGGGCTTCTCCGCCGGGCGCCCGCGCGCTGCGGGTTCCGAGCCCTGGAGGCGCTCGTCGCCTCCTCGCCTGCCGGCCCCCGCGCGGCGACTCGCGACCACCCAAGCCGGGAGGCCGTGGTCGCCAGACCCCCAGAGCCCGGGCTGAGAACCCGCGGGGCGACCTGGGGACCCGGTCGAGGGTGGTCAGGAGGCTGCGGGCGGCGGTGGCCCCTGGCCCGTGGCGGGGCTCCACGTCGAGACGTGGAGGAACAGGATCCTCGGCCAGGGACAGTCTGCGTCCTTTCTGCTAAGACCTTAGTAAACAGGGGGAGCTTGTAGTTATCGGTGGTGCCCCATTTTTGGCTCCTTAGGAAACGTGCCCCCTCTCCTTGTCCCCGTGAACGGTGTCGGACTTGAGAGGGTTCTTCGAGATCGTCTAAACCAAACCTCTCTTGTTTTGGACGAGGAAGATGATGCCCCAAGAGGTTAGATGACTTCAAGCCATGCCACGTTTAAACCGCAGGGTCTGGATTCATTCCAAACCAAACCTGTTTTTCTTTTCACTGCACCCTTTTTAGCCTGTTAGTCTTTCTCTTCTTTTTCGTCCCTCTTCATCCTAGACTTCGCGGATATCATTTTGTTCTGCTGGCAACACACAGGACTTAGAGTAATGTTGAATAACGTGAACGTACTTTTACCGTCTTTGAATGTACTCTTAAAAATGGCTAGGATAGGACATTTATGTTAAGTGTATTTTACGGTATTTTTAAAGGCCCTTGATAAACGTTAAGCAAATATTGAAGAGTATTGGTGGAGCTTAGACCTATAGTTTCACATCAGAAGGTGAGCTGTGTGAACGAGCTTAATAAATGAGATCTGAAAGGACAGTTTCAATTTTTCTAATAATTAAATTCTTGTGCAGTAACAATTTTGAAAAAAATGACAGTATTGATCTTTAGGTTGATTCTAGGAAGGTCAGTGTGTCCTGTGGAGCCAGTCAGCGTTGCCTCTGCTCTTGGTACTTGAGGGGACAGTGAGGGGAAATCTGTGTGTGCCAGATCCCTTATAGCTGGGAACCTCTGGAGATGTGCTGCTAGGTGCATTTTTATTCCACTTACACACCATCCTGTAAAGACTTTTGGGCATAGGACACATCACATCAGAGCACAACATCAGGAGGTAGGATTTATACAGAAATGATCACGAATGTATCAGCATAACTAAATTTCAGAAGTAGAACACTGAGTTAAAAATATATATATATTGGCGGGGCCTGGTGGCTCTCTCAGCCTGTAATCCCAGCACTTTGGGAGGCGAGTGGATTGCCTGAGCCCGCGGGTTCGAGGTCCACCTGAGCAACCTGGCGAGACCTCGTCTCTACAATAAATCAAAAAAATTAGCCGGGCATGGTAGCACGTGTCTGTAGTTCTGGCTACTTGGAAGGCTGAGGCGGAAGGATTGCCGGAGCCCAGCAGGTCAAGGCTGCACCCCAGCCTGGGTGACAGAGTGAGACGCCAACTCAAAACACAACAACAACAACAAAAACTATTAAGATATGTAAATAATAATGCCTCTTCAAAAAAACTGATCAGCTGGGCTCGGTGGCTCAGCCTGTATGTAATCCAAACGCTTTGGGAGGCTGAGGCGAGAGGATTGCCTGAGCTTACAGGTTCGAGACCAGCCTGGGCAACTTGGTGAGACCTCATCTCTACAATAAATCAAAAAATCAGCCGGGCATGGTAGCGCATCCCTGTAATTCCGGTTACTCGGAAGGCTGAGGTGGAAGGATCGCCGGAACCCAGTGAGTCGAGGCAGCGGTGGCCAGGAGCGGCCACTGCCCTCCAGTCTGGGCGACGGAGTGAGACACCAACTCAAAAAAAAAAACAAAAAACTGATCAATACTATATATTACTTATGAGGGCAAACACATATGTGTATATAATAAAAGCATAAAATTGGATAAGTGAGAAATGCAAGTAAATATACAAAGAAAATGAACAAGAAGGCTGCATACCAATTTCATGACATTGCCTCTAGGAAGGCAAGGAGGAGAAAGAGATCTGGAAAATACACAAAAGGAGCTTCTACTGCATCTGTTAAACACACCACAAATTTAACATTCAAAATAAAAATCTCCATGGAGATTCAAGCCTTTCCTTCTTTCCTTCCTCCTGTTCTTCTTTCCTTCTTTCTTGTTGGAGTCTCACTCCATTGCCCAGGCTAGAGTGCAATGGCATAATCACGGCCACCACAGCATCAACCTGCTGGGCTCAGGCGTATACTTCTGCCTCAGCCTTTCAAGTAGCAGGAACTACAAGTGCGTGCCACCACGCACAGCTAATTTTTTTTTTTTTTAAAGAGACAATGTCTCACCAAGTTACCCAGGCTGGTCTCAAACCTTTGGGCTCAGGCCATCCTCAAACCTTGGCCTCCCAAAGGTTTGAGCCACCACACCTGGCCTAAGTGTTTCTTATGAAAATCTCTAAGCTTTTCTGTGTTTGAAATGTCCCTCTTAAAAGCAATGTTGGGTTGAGCACAATGGCTCCCACCTGTAGTCCTGGAGCTTTGGGGTTATGGGGAGGGAATCACTTGAGGCTGGGAGTTCGAGACTGGCCTGGGCAACATAGTTAGGACGCCCCCCCCACCCCTCCCAACCTCTGCCTCTCACCCCATTAAATAAAAAATGGAATGTTGGCCCAGGTGCAGTGGCTCAGGCCTGTAGTTCTAGCATTTGGGACGCGAGAGGATTGCTTGATCCCCGGGAGTTCAAGACCAGCCTTAGCAACATAGAGAGACCTCATCTCTACAAAAAATAAAAAAATTAGCCGGGTGTGGTGTCTGCGCCTGAAGTCCCAGCTACTTGGGAGGCTGAGGCAGAAGGATCATCTGAGCCCATAAGGTCAAAGATGTGATGGGCAGTGATTGTGTCATTGCCCTCCAGCCTGGGTGACAGAGTGAGACCCCAACTCAAAAAGTAATGTTGAAGTGTGACCAACATTGAGCTCCATGTGGACAGTGTGACTCACTCTCCCCTGGGGGGAGCAGTAGTCGGAGAATGAGGTGCAGGACAAGAGGAGGTTCAGAAGGTGCTGGTTGAGAGGAGATACGAAAGGGGCCTTCTTTTCAGGGATAAAAATATTCAAATTCAACAAGACTAAAGTGAGATGCTTTCTATCCCATCTCTCTTTCATTCCATGTTGTAACCACCAATAGAAAGTCTTTAATGAGCGGGAGCTTCACAGAGAGACATGGCTCTCTCAACATTGTTAAAACTGGTCTGTATGTGGATAAACCTGTTTTGAAACTGTAAATGTTAACTGGTAATGTATGGTAATTTAGTATTGCCATCTACATACCTCCCCCAGCCGCCCCAAGGCTTTGTTTATCCATTTATATACAGTCTGGTCAGGTGGAAAAATCACTGGGCTGGAATTCAGACAACCCAGGTTCTAATTTCAGTTTGGCCACTCACTGATCCTTTGTTAACTTAAGAAAAGCGACAACTTCTAAGGGCTTCGCTTTCCTTTTTCTTTTCAAATTGGAGGTGTGCAAATGCTGCCTCTTTTAAAAGTAAAAGACACGATACAGACACAGGGTTTGTACGTTTATTTAAGTTGGAGGAGAGTACATTCTCATCTAATTTTGGAAACAAAGATAGTAAGGAAACTCTTGTCCTGTTTTGTTTTGTTTTGTTTTTTGGTGGTGGTGGTGGGTGGCCATAAGAACTGCTTTACATCGACCAAAGAAGCTCTGCTATGGAATTTTAAAACTTTTTTGGTATTCTCCAGCGCTTGTTTATAGTTCTATCACAGCTGTTACCACTGCGAGCCTTCCATTATTTATACATTGCATTTTCCAGTCTTCCTCATTAGACTTCTTTTTTATCCTCATATTCTCACTCTGCGGCCTTTTTTTTTTTTTTTTTTTTTCTCCTTCTCCTCACTCTGCGTCTTATTGCAAGGTGGGCGCTCAATAAATTCAAGGAATTCCATGACACCGTATTTTAAGAGGTCCCAAATTCAGAGTTATCCTTATTAAGGCATGCCATCTGCCGGCTTCCTGGTGTATCTATCGGTCAGCCTGAATCCCATCGTCCAAGACATTGAAATGTGCGTGGAGGCGTCTGGGTGTCTGTGCGTGGGCGATTTTCCCCACCTCCCTTCCCTTCCCGTGGCAAGTGCTGTCCTTTCACAGAACCCGTCGCGAATTGTTGTCCCTCCGACCCCCTTTTGCCTGCCGGTCACCCTTAAAACCTGGCACCGTGGAGCCTGCGTGCCCGAGCTCCGGAGTGACCGGGACAATACGAACTGGGCAGGCTCAGTAGGGAGTACTGATCTGGGACACACTGCGTCTTGAATGAGGGTTCCCAGAGCTGTGTGTTTCAGGATTCCACGCATCTTCCCGCTACAGCCCGGCCGAGCCAGAGCGCACTCCCGCCCACGCTCTTGGCGCCCACACGGCTTCGTTTCATCCCTGGGCCCAATTTGGAAGCCCGCCCTCCCGGGTCGCGCGACCAATCAAGAGCCCACACATTGTTGCCTAAGAGACCCCGGAGGCCAGAGGCAGGATTTTCAGATGGTGATTGGGCTACCGGAAGCTGGGCGCGTTGACGGGGCTGCAGGGAGCAGGAGGGGAAAAGCTACCCTTCTGCAGCTCTGGCAACGTCAGCGCTCGAGGGTTGAAGAGGGAGACGAGCTAAAAGAGGTGAGAGCTGTGGGCAGTGCATGAAAAAGATGCAGACTCTCTTTGGAGAGCTCCCGGGCCTCTCACCAGCCTTGGCAGCTCTCCTGGGGGTTACCTTTGGCTCTCCCATTTCAACTGCAGTTCATACTTGCTAAATCCACAACCTACAAATAATAGCATGGCTATCAAGCCCTAGCTTTTTGCATTGTGTTATAGCTCTTGCCTTGTTTTTAACTGGTTAAACGTAGGGTGAATTTGCATTTGCATTTAAGTCTACCCATACCCCATTTCCTAATATTTGAGATTCTCGTGTCAGACGATATTAGTGTGCAGTGGATGAATTTTATGTTAGCAGAGAAACGCAATCCTATTTTGCTCCGAAAACTCCAAATAAAAATTCAGTGCTCCTGAGAATAACCCCAGTGCCCAGGTCATAATGTTCTCGGTTTCACTCTACATTTTAATCTTTTTATCCTCTTAATACTTAAACTACACCCCTTCCCCCCTGGTGTATCCATTTCTGTGACTGATTTAACAAATATTTATTGAGCACCTATTATGTACTACTGTGAGTTTGATTCAAGTGAGCAACGTCAGAAAAGCACATAAGCAAAGACGCATCAAAGTTCTGTGCTACGTTCTCAGAGTGGTCAGGAATTCAGTGTGTCTGGGCAGAGAGTGCATGGGCAGGGGAGAATGAGGCTGAAAAGGTAGACTGAGGTAAAATTATGGCAGACCTAGACTTCCATACTAACGAGTCTGGATTCTGTAGTCATTAGTGAGCCTGTGAAGGTTTTGAGCTGAAGAGTGACTTGATCAACTAGCCTTTAAAAAAAATACCTCTTTAACAATAGATTGTGTGCTCCATTAAAACAGACTCATCTTTGTACCCCTAACACATGCCTGGTATGTAGGTACTTAATAAAGTTGTTGAAAAATGGTGATAGTGGGGAGGATAGTTTAGAAGATCAGGTTGGTCATATGTGGCCAGAGGACACATCCTTGCTATTGAAAATGGAACTAGAACCATACAGTGGGGACTAGGGCCATGAGCCCTCTTTCTATATTTTCCCCTCAGGGAAAATTAAAGATGACCATGCAGGGGCAGCCATTACAGGGAAAAGAGGCCACAAAAAAGCAACAGCAAGACTTATTTGTGTAAGAAAGGGAAGACAACTTGCTTTGTTTTTTTGATGGAGTGGGGGCAATTATTTGTGTGTGTGTGTTATATAAGAGTTCTTGTCTTCTTAATAGTAGCAAATGGTCTGTACTGTGAATATGTGTGTGCATGCAAATACACACATTACCCATCTTCTGGTATGCAGGGAGGAGGAAAAAATGTACAAGGATAATAATAAGAGAGAAGGCAGGACACCCCATTGGCATACTTTAGCAGGCCGGCATTACCAAGACGGCTGCTTCTCCTGGCCAGGCCCATCTGCTAAAAAACAAGCTTTCCTTTAGTGGATTTGAAGAAAGCCAGATGCAAGTGACATGTATCTCTGAGGAACCAGGAAATAGAAAACAACTAGTATAGACCCTCGGGGGAGTCACCAAGAAAAGCCACCATTTTGTCCTAATTTAGAATTACTAATTGTAGTGCCTACAATTAGTCAAATGGTTTCCTATGCAAACTGGGAACAGAGAGAGAGTTTCTCTGTGCAGAGCAGGGGTTTTTAACCTGGGGTAAACAAAATTTTATGTTCATGTGCATTTTTCTAGAGAGAGGATTCACAGTTTTCATCTCAAAGAGCTTTATGCACCCCCCAAAAGGATTACAAACAACTGGTTTAAAGAGAAGAGATATAGAAAATAAATAACAAAAATAAAGATATCGTGCATATCTTGTAGGCTCTATGGCCATGCTTTGTATCTGTAATTTGCCTGCTCACATGTTCTTTTATCGCTTGCTGCCAATTAATAGTGCTGAAATGAAATCATTTCTTTTGCCTTTATAACTTACCTAAAAATGTGGTGACTCAGGTGATTAGCTCTTAGGGGCTCATCTGAGCCCCCTTCAATTCCAGTGGCATGGTGGCAGCAGGTAGCTGCAGGAAGGCATTATTTTGATGACACCCCACAGGGTTTAAAACACTGACTGTGTCTTCAGCCACCACTTAAAACTGAGAGAGAATATTATATGTCAAGTGAGAACTTCAAAGATTTCAGATACAGTGGGGAAATCCCATATCAGCCAAAAAATAATGATTTTTAAAAATTGTCCAATATTTGTTGCTGTGGGGACATTTGTGGAGCCCATGGGTCAGCAAAGAGTCCCTGGTCCCCCTCAGCCATCAGACAAGTCCCATACCTGACTACAGAAGCCCACCCTCACAGGGGAGAGAAGACAGAGCCTGCAGAAGCATTGAGGGTATTAGTGAAGCCACTATCCATCTGCTGTAAATGTCTCCCACCTTGAAATAGTTTGTCATGGTCCCGCAAAGGACAGATTTCGAGGTACTCTGTAAATGACAAATCCTAAGAAAAGCTGCAGGTCGGTTATTATTTATCAAGGCCCCCCACCTATCAGGCCCTCTGCCTTACTCTTTTACTCTAATCTTTGAAATTGCAGTTGGGGGTAGATGTATCCATTCTTATTTTACAAAAGAGGAAACTGAATCCCAGATACATTAAATAACAGAAAAAAAGTTTTATAGCTAAAAAAGAACACCCCCAAAACAAACAAACCAAAACACAATTGGTTGCAAACAACAGAAACAGATTCTAGCTAACATAAACAGAAGAGGAAATGTATCACAAGGGTGTCAGGTGGCTTACAAAATAGACAAGAAGGGACATGGGGCTTCTCAGAGGTGAAGAAGCAAGAACAACTTAACAGTCTGCTCAGGGTACCAATGCTACTTTGAATGATGACCTCATCTGTAAAATTGTCAGTTCACCTGACCTGGCTTGGTCTCATGACCATCTCTTGGCTGGGAAAGGGCAGATCACCTTGATTAACCAACCCAGAATGTTCTAAACAATGAGAGAAAATAATTCCTCATAGAAATTAAAGTGCTTTCATCAAAAGGAGGCAGGCTGTGTACTGGACAGCTAAAAACAGTAACTTTCCCCCAATACACTCAAATTCATCCATCTCCGAAGCCTTGTCTTTGTCCATTGCATCATTCTGCTTCTTCAATATGGTATCAGGCTGGAACTCTTGTTACTTGGATGTCAGAGAGTAAAGAGGGGAGGATAAGAGTTAATATCCCAAGGGTCAAGAATAAAGTATTTCATGTTGCTCTATGATTTCAATGTGAAATATTTCTCTTGGCTGGATGAAGTGGCTCATGCCTGTAATCTCAATACTTTGCGAGGCGGAGACGGGAGGTTTGCTTGAACTCAGGAGTTTGAGGCCAGCCTGGGCAACACAGTGAGACCTCCATCTCTAGAAAAGCTTTTTCTTTTTTTAATTAGTCAGACGTGGTGTTGTGCACTTGTAGTCTCAGCTTCTTGAGAGGCTGAGATAGTAGGACAACTTGAACCCAAAAGTTCAAGGCTGCAGTGAGCTATGATTATGCCACTGCACTCCAGCCTGGGGAACAGAGCAAGTCCCTGTCTCTAAAAATAAATAAATTTTGAAAAATAAAATACTTCTCTTTCTGGACAGTATGGCATGTTCTTAGCTAGACGTAGTTCTGGATTTTCCCGTCATGCAGTGAAAATAGAGTTAAACTGACCTGGGTCTGACTTCTGGTTTCACCACTTACTCTCTGTGTGATCTTGAACCAGGTAACTTCAATGGACTTCATTTGCTTCATCTGTAAAATGAGCTAAAAGCCACCACCTCACCGGATTGTTGTGCGCTTTCATTGAACATATATGTAAAGTACTTGACATATAAGATGATCCCAGTAAATGTTCTTCCCATGCATCCCTTCTTTTTTTGAGGGGGGAGTCAGAGTGTCACTATGTCGCCTAGGCTGGAGTGCAGTGGCATGCTCACGGCCACCGCAACCTTGACCTGCTGGGCTCAGGCGATACTTCCACCTCAGCAATCCAAATAGCTAGAACTACAGGCATGCACCACCATGCCCAGCTAATTTTTCTTAATTTATTGTAGAGATGAGGTCTTGCCAAGTTGCCTCAAACCGGTGGGCTCAGGCAGTCCTCTCACCTTGAAGTCCCAAAGTGCTCGGGTTATAGGCATGAGCCACCGTGCCCGGCCCCACCCATTCCTTCTACCAACATAGTAAAAAATTATATGGCATAAATATTTTTAGTATTCTGAAAATTTTATGATTCATTCCTTCTGATAGGTATAGTCTTTCTTATGGAAGAATATCCATTTACCTCACGATGGCATTTGCACCTCCAAAAAGCATAGATGGCCCCAAAATGCAGACAAAGATGAGTACATGGACGCCCCTAAACCATCAACTTTTGAATGACCAGGTAAGTGGCCAGACCTATTTTATCAATTGGATCCGTAACTCAGAGGACAAAAAATGCAAACTGAGTGTGATGGCTTACTCATGCCAGTAATCCCAAGCACTTTGGGAGACCGAGAAGGGAGGATTACTTGAACCCAGGAGTTCAAGACAAGCCTGGGTAACATAGCGAGACCTCATAACAAAAAATTTATAAATTAACTAGGTGTGGTAGCGCATGCCTGAAGTCCTATCTACTTGGGAGACTGAGGCAAAATGATTGCCTGAGCCCAGAAGGTCAGGGCTGTGGTAAGCCATGATTGTGCCACTGCACTTTAGCCTGGATAACAGAGTGAGACCCCAGACTCAAAAAAAAAAGAGTTAAAATTTTGGTTATCAGGGACAACTCCTTCAGGTCTCCTCCCACTGTGGGAGCTTTTCTGTTCTCTTAATAAATCCTGCTTTCTCATTTAAAATAAAATTTTTTAATTCTGTTGGAATTTGCCAACAGGTCTGTGAGATCTGATGACCAGTTCTTGTATACAAGGACCACACCTAGTTGGCAATAAAACACAATCAACCTGCATAAAAATGACATCATTATCCTGCTTTTCCATACTGGTTCCTTCCCCCCAGTGAAAGGCACTGCTTCACACCAAGTCTCTCAAGCCAGAAATCCTCCCTTTCCCTGTCAGGGCTGAGATTTTATTTTCCCCAGCTTACAAGTTAAGTTAGCCTGTTACTTTGGAATAGAAGACACTGCTGCTTTGCAGCCATAAACATGAGATTGGCCAGGCTTGGTGGCTCAACCTGTCATCCCAGCACTTTGGGAAGCCGAGGCAAGAGGATTGCCTGAGCCCGCAGGTTCGAGACCAGCCCGGGCAACCTGGGGAAACCTCGTCTCTACAATAAATAAAAAATGAGCCAGGTGTGATAGTGCGTACCTGTAGTTCCGGCTCCTTGGAAGGCTGAGGTGGAAGGATTGCTGGAACCCAGCAGGTTGATGCTTGGATGGCCGTGAGCATGCCACTGCACTCCAGCCTGGGCAATGGAGTGAGACTCCAACTCAAAAAAAAAAAAAAAGACATGAGATTTTGGGGTCAAGAACAAAGAACTTTAACTGTAATCCCAGCTATTCAGGAGGATGAGGCAGGAGGATCATTTGAGCCCAGGAGATCAAGAGTGCAGTGAGCAGCCGGGCTCGGTGGTTCAGCCTGTAATCCTGCGCTTTGGGAGGTCGAGGTGAGTGGATTGCCTGAGCCTGCAGGTTCGAGACCCGCCTGGGCAACTTGGCGAGACCTCATCTCTACAATAAATAAAAAAAAATTAGCCGGGCGTGGTAGCACGCGCCTGTAGTTCCAGCTACTCGGAAGGCTGAGGCGGAAGGATCGCCGGAGCCCAGCAGGTCAAGGCTGCGGTGGCCGGGAGCGGCCACTGCACTCCAGTCTGGGCGACAGAGTGAGACTCCAACTCAAAAAAAAAAAAAAAAAAAAGAATGCAGTGAGCTATGATTGCACCACTACATTATAGCCTGGACAACATAGTGAGACCCTCCACCCATCTCTAAAAAAAACAAAAAAAGAATGAACTTTGCTCACAGGGCAGCAAGCAGCCTGAGCCTTATGTTTGCATGAGTTCTCCTTGCCCACCTTGTCCCATAGGGCTGATGCAGAGGGCCCTGATAAATGCTGCACACACAGTGGGTCTGCATCACAGCTAAGGAACAGCGAGGCCAGGGAACCCACTGTTTTTATAGTGAGCAGTAAGCAAGCCTGCTCTTGGCCCAAGGGAAACTTACCTCATGCCTCAAGGTTGCCTTGCAGCAAATGCAGCCCGCAGGAATGGCCCCAGCAAAGAGCACTCGGGGTCTTGCATTCTTGTTAGGAGAACGAGAGGCCACTGAAGAGTGTCTGCCCACACTTCCTCACTTCCACATCCAATATGTTTTCAAGTTCTATGAGTCTTCCTCCTAGATCTCTCGTTCAGACCCCTTTTCTCCGTCCACCTGTATACCTTCAGCTCTATGTTCTTGGTTCACACCCTTGTCACCTTTTGCTGGCACATGGCGGTAACCCCCTAGCTTGTTTTACTGCCTCTGTCCCTACCGATCCATCCTCTATTCTGGTCTCAGAGTGATTTTGCTTTGTTTGGGGTGAGTCATTGGAGTCTTACCCTGTCATCCTTCATACTGCAGCTTCAACCTCCTGAGCTCAGGTGGACTACAGGCATGTGCCACCCCACCTGGCTAATTTTTTTGACTTTTTTGTAGAGGTGAAGTCTCACTATGTTGCCCAGCCTGTCTTGAATTCCTGGGCTCAAGCAATCCTCCATTCTTGGAATCCCAAAGTGCTGGGATTACAGGTATGATCCACCCCAGCTTTCCCAAAGTGATTTCTAAATACCGATCCTATTAGGTGAAAATGATCATAGGCCCTACTCCCAAGAGTCAATTCAAAAGCACCACAGGAGCCGGACTCAGTGGCTCAGCCTGTAATCCCACGCCTTTGGGAGGCTGAGGTAAGTGGATTGCCTGAGCCCGCGGGTTCAAGACCCGCCTGGGCAGCAAGACCTCATCTCTACAATAAATAAAAAAAAAAATCAGCTGGGCGTGGTAGCACGTGCCTGTAATTCCGGCTACTTGGAAGGCTGAGGCGGAAGGATCACTGGAGCCCAGCAGGTCAAGGCTGTGGTGGCCGGGAGCAGCCACTGCACTCCAGTCTGGGCGACAGAGTGAGATTCCAACTCAAAAAAAAAAAAAAAAAAAAAAAAGCACCATAGGTAGCGTTGGGGATACTTCATGATTTGACCTCAGCCAACCTCCCAGTTGCCAGCCCTGCCCCTGCTTCCTCACGTCTGATGCCCAAGCTCAGCTCGGAGGTCCCATGAACCCTACTTTCCCACACCTCCATCCCTCCTGTCCAAGATATGCAAATGTTCTTTCCTCTAGGAAGCCTCCCTCTGCTTCCTGCTTTCTGCCCTTTGCCCTCATCACTGATTACTGGCTTTCCCATACAACTTTTATGCTTCTAGAATTGAGAGTCTGTCTCTTCTCTATGTACTTCTAGGGTCTGATATAGTCCCTGAAGCACAAGAAATGGAGTCAGAGCTCAGATCTATTGCTGGTACCTTTCTCCTTGACTCTCCTCTTCTTGTCCCTCCCTCCTTCCTTCCTTAGCCTGGATTTGCTCCTCCCCTTCTCTCAACCTAACAGGCATGTTAACTCCGCCAGCAAAGCTTAGCCTTCAAGCCTGACCCCTCCTGCTCAGTGCTTTCTATTTCTACTTCCTTTGATGTGAAATGAGAGCAGTTTTAGGAACGAGAAGAGCCACACTCTATGAATTCACACTCTTAGGAAGCAGCAAGGGGTATCTTCTCAGTCTCTTAATTTCGTTATCTGGAGTAGCTGCCTTATCTGTGGAAATTCAGTTCAGCTCTAAAAGCCTAGGGCAGATGTCATCACCTTCATGAATTCTTCCTCTGTTCCCTAGATTCTAAGAGTGATGTCACTCCTTAGAATGTAGATAGTTTGGCAACTTTTGACTGGATGTAGCAACTCCCTCATCCCTACATTTTTTTCAATCACTCCTGATTCCCGAGTGAAACATCTAGATGTTGTGAAACAGTCCTCAGAACAGGGCAGGAGTCACTCAGACCTTAGGTGGGGATCGGAATAGTGAGAAATAAAACGGAGAGAGACTGAAGAAGGAAGCAGATAAAGGAAATGAAGAAGAGAGAGAAAGAGAAAAACAAAACAAAACAAAACAGAGGGACCAGGAGAAACAAAAGGAAAGGCAGAGAAAGGGAGAGAAAGCCAGCCTTCTCCCAGCCACAAACACAAAACAAGTTCATTGAAAATTTTTTTACTCAGCATAATAGTTGTTTATTGAGCACCTGTTTGCAATGCTCTTAACTCTCCCAGCTTATCTGGGAGAGCTATTTGTATAACAGCTTATCTGCTTCCTCCCCTGCTAAACTTGAGTGTTTTGTTTTGAAATCTGTTTTCCCATAGAATGGGGAAGGTTTTACACACGTGAAAAAGTGACTCTAATTAAAATATGCATTTGCTGGATTCCTTAATTTTTCAGGAATTTTCTTTGAAAAATTCAAGAGTAGGCCCGGCTCAATGACTCAGCCTGTCATTCTAGCACTTTGGGAGGCTGAGGTGAGCAGATTGCCTGAGCCCGCGGTTCAATACCAGCCTGGGCAACATGGCGAAACCTCATCTCTACAGTAAATAAAAAATTAGCCGGGCATGGTAGCTCGTGCCTGTAGTTCCAGCTACTTGGAAGGCTGAGGCGGAAGGATCCCTGGAGCCCAGCAGATTAGACAGGGTGAGACTCCAACTCAAAAAAAGAAAGAAAGAAAAGAAAAAAAAAATCAGGAGTCTTGATCAACTTAGCAGCTGTGGAAGAAAAAAAACAGCTTCGGCAAAAATTACTTGAGTGCTTGTTGCAGGTTGGGTTACTGGAGAAGCAGATTCTGAGATTAGCATGCAGGGAATTGACTGGGGAAGTGCTTTTTGAATCTGTACCTGGGGAGGGAGGGAAGAAGAGGGGAAGAGAGCAGAGGGAGGGGAAGGAGGGTACAGAGGAGGAGGGAGGGGAAGGGGAAGGCAAGGAGGGAAGAGAGGGACTGGACTGGGAGGCAAGGGGGGAGAAAGAGGAGGGAAGGGAGGAGGACAAAGGGAGGGAAAGCAGAAAAAAAGAGGGAAGGGGAGGGAGGGGAAAAGGGAAGGGAAGAGGTGTGCCGAAGAGGAAGAGGCAGGGCTGGAATGCAACTCAACAGTGGTCTCTGCTGACCCCACAGGACACCCTACAGCTGGCGTGATCCTTTCGGGTGGTCTTACCCTGCAGCAAGGTGGTCCAGGCTCTGTAGTTCTGCGCTGCCCATTCAGGGGGTGCTAGCCGCCACCTGCCCTCCAGGGCCTGACCTTGGGCGAGGCAGCTGACTGAAGCCCGTGGCTGTCAACCAGAAGCCTCCCAACAGAGGGAGGAATCGATCCTTCGGTCCTGGAGGAAAATGATT